GATCGCATTATCTCTTGACGCAGTGCGACCACATTGCTGTCAAACTGCACGCCATAGCCAGGCCATGCCATGTCGTTTGCGAGCCACTATCAGACCAAGCCTTGATAGGCGGCCATGATGTCTTGAAGGCTGCTCGTGTCGTACTCGATGTCTGACTGGCAGGGTCCATGTCATGCATGCATGGCGGGAGGTCTCCCGGCTTCCGTGAGCATAGGAAGAATAACAGCGACGCCTATGACCTAGGAAGGAGGAGTTGGATGAGCTGGCGAGGGGTAAGAGGACAATGCGCAGTAAGATGGTGAGCAGCCCCCACGCATGCTACTTGAAGCGTCTCTCGCGCGAGCTTGTTTATTAGACGTGCTGCATATGCGGCGTGTGCTTGTGGGTCCGGGATGCTGAACCGAGAGGGGTCCTGCAGACGACATCATCGCATGGTGGTCATGTCGGTCGACTCCGAGCTGTCCAAGGAACGACCCACCTTGACAATGCTGCTCTCCCGAACTGCGGGTAGTCGTTTAGGTTGCCCTCTGACCCGCGTGCACGTCATTGCGAGGGGGTCCAATGAACGCACCGCCGTGAAGAAGGGTGCGCAGGCGAGATGAGAATGATGCGGGGTATGCGCCTCGTTGGTTACACGACAGCGCGCATCGAGGTACGGGCTGCTCTGACGTCCATGGTCGAATCTTCATCTGCCCGTGAGTAGTGCCGACTGCGGGACGTACACCGTGTATGTACAGTAGGGTAGTATCAGCGCGTATCGCGACGTGGAGCAAAGGGCGATTGATAGTCAAGCAGGGTCCGGTCGACAGCGGCGGCTATGCTCGGCTTCCCGCTCAGGGACAGAGGGCAGTGCTGCATGCACGCAATCATGTCCCGCAACACCCATGGACTTCGTGGGGCTTCACTCCATGTGCTGCTGTAGCTCGTGCTGAGAGGCATGGCGTTCGTCATCTGGTGCGAGAAGGAAGTCGGTTGTTGCGGTTACCACACGCCTTCCCGAGAGTCTGCCCGTCTGCGGCGCGAAAATATCGTCTTCGCTGCCGTGCAACTCTGTCATTGTTTTTGGCGTAGATCAGGTACCCTCGAGCACAAGATAGATTGGGTGCGCGTCTGGTTGCAGCGGCGGCATGGAGACTGGTCGTTGCCCGCATACGAGCACGGACGATCCCAAGGCTTGCTTGCAGCTCGTCGAGCGCTGCATGACACCAGCAACAAAGGGATGCACTATTGTGGCTGCTTCTGACGTCCCATCCGCATTGTTGAAGATGACATGCTCTGCTCGCCGCTGACTATTGTTTTGCCGCCGGCCACAGAGCCAATCTCCCAGCATCATGGGCGCGCCGTCGTGGAAAATTCTCGGGGTGCCTCATCGAGTCACCACACCCGGATATCAGCTCCACTCTTGCCCGTCGACTCACATAAAGCGTTGATGCTTCCTGAAAACCACCGGTCCACTCCGTCAGCAATCGCCAGCTGCCACTCCACTGCCTTTTGACCGGGTTCTGTCCCACGCCTTCACAGTCGACGTCAGCAGCAGCATCCGCTCTACGCGCAGGACCGATTCCTGCGTCCAGCCGTCTTCCAGGCGTCCATTCCCGTCCAGTGTGCCACCCCACGCGCCCATCTGGCCCCGCGCATTGCGCACTCTGCCCTGAAATCCAACTATAAGGTTCATCCACCTGTACCATCCGTGAGCCTCCCAGCCAATTAGACAAGGGTTACCTGCATCAATCCCCACGCCGCATCTTTTACCCCAGACTCACGGCATTTTGTCCTAATCCACGCCTCGAGGTCACATACAGCAGCTTCCAGACCGTGCCCTGCAATAGTGTCACTTCTACGCATCCCATCGGTCCGTAACTGAATCGGTACGATTGCTTACAGCACCTTGTGTCATATACACCCGAGGTATCCAGGCGCCACATATCCTGCTCTCCAAGTTACACATCTCCGGCTTGTGGGATGAATTTCGGCTTCAAAAACAATACCTCGCACTGGCCCGTTGGACAAGAACACATCAACCGATAGTCTGGTCAGATCCCCCGCATTTTCATCTGTGGCTGCATGCCATCATCGCGATCCCAAGGCTCTCGGAATAACGATAAGCTTGCTTTTTCTACGGTTTCTGGAGGCTCCACGGACCTCTTAGCAAGCCTCGTCAAGCTTGACTTGCCGAATCGGAAAGTGATCCCGAATCCAGCTACCCACGGGCACGCGAGCGATCGTCATCGAAAACGCCTATTCTTATCTATTTTTTGTGGCACGTAATGGACTCATCTTTGACACTGCTCAGTGCGAATATCCGTATTCTGGTACGTGGGCCTTCCCCTCATCATGCGTTCTGCTGCATTGCATGGTAGCAAAAGTGTCCGTGTCTTACACCGGAGAGAGCCTTGGTGGCGGGTCCTTCATGCACGACATAACGGCAGGGCAACTCTTATAATTCGCCTCCCACACTGAAATTTTCTCTCCCATGGACATCAGCTAACATGATCACCTTCAAGGATACCCAACTCGCTCTCATACACATCCCGTTGCCTCTGTATCGCAACTTTCTCCAGTCCATTCTTCAACTAGTTCTGCCCAATGCGACGCGCAAGTCTTATGGGAACGGCTCTGGCGCCGTGCAGCCGCCCAAAGGCTGGCCCTGCGAACACCCCTTTGTGAATATCTCCATTACACCAGTCGAGTGCTCCATAGTATGCTCAAGGACGCTTGCGAGTGAACTATTTCTGCCTGTTCTCAACTTGCTGGATCCTGAGTCAAGAGCGTCTGTCAGTATTACCACAGATGACTATGTCGTAATGCAAGTCGATGGCGAGGGACTTGATGCAGGACAACGCGTCTTGGAGTTGACAAGTCCTCTTGCTCTGGCTGGAATGTAAGTAGAGGCCATCACAAGGCTTCCGCACAAGGCTGACTTGATTCCAGTCCCATATTCTTCATCACCACTTACTTCTCCGACTACATTTTGGTCCCACTGCGACACCGATCGCAGGTCGTACAAGCGCTAGAAGAGCGTGGTTTCCAGTTCGAAAAAGACACGTCCTCATACGTCAACTCCTTCCAACATGCCCGCAAACACTCAGCCGCGTCACTGGAAGTTCAGCCGCCCAGCACCCCTCCGCCAACCACGATTTCAGAGCTTCAAACCAGGACCTTCGCTACACTTAAGCGTCGTCACATCGTTCCCACGGTAGATTCGAGCATCCGGCTCGTGCAATGCGCCGGTCGACGCGACAGTACAAATGGCATGTCTCAAGCTCGAAACCGCAACAGCATGACAACATCCGCCGACGACGCACTCCACCTCGGTCTCGTAAAATGCCTCATCACGCAGCCATATCCGAAATTTTTATCGCTCACACTAACTGATACAGAGTCTGCCGCGCTGCTACTCGACCAAACCTTACTACCGCATTTCGCGCAAGACACTCTCCTAGGCTCCAGAGATGAGTTCTTGACACCCATCACCTTGGACCTGCGAGGTCTGCCAATGGAAAGCACCGGTATTGTGTGCGGTGTAGCTGGCAGATTAGTCGGCGAAACCACAGGGCAACTGGAGGATCCTGTTGAGATGAGTTATTTGAGTACCGCGCGTGCTGGAACCGTCATGGTCGCTGAGCAGGAGCTGGAACGTGCACTTGATGCTCTGCACGGCGCTGAAAATGGTGTTTCAACGGCAGACGAGTAGTTGTGCTCGTGTATGGGTGCGGCACAATTCCTTTTTGGCTGTTACGACCGGTGCTGGCTGAATCGAGGTCGCTTGCGCCTGCCAAGTATGCGGCCTTCACTTCCCACTCGGCTTGCATCGGCTCCTTTCTTTTACTTTGCGACGAACAATGTTGCTATGATTTTCGCATTTGCTGTATAGGATAGGATTTGGCGACTGGATCAAAAGTTATCATTTATGCGTACAACCAGTAGCTGCCCGGGTGTATAAATGCGTGACGTAGCGTCCTCGCCCTAACATCGATTTGTGCAAGTGGCCGCACGCATACCTCACGCCCGCGTGCTGCAAGGCAAGAGCGCCCCGCCGCTGCGCCTCTCTCATCCTACTCGCATGTCGCCGATATGCACGACGAAATTCCTCGAACTTCTAGTTCCCATAGGTGATCTTATTGTTTCACATGGACGCAATGTGATAGCCATCCCTTCTCACCAATCACGATCGAGTAGCTCTTTTGGCCCCCACTGCGGCTGAGGTCCGACATGGTTCAGCTTAATCTCATCCCAATAAGTAGCGATGCTCTCACACTTCTACGAGTATGTTATTGCTCTACTAAGGAAGATATCGTTCCAACTACAGCGTCGCTACGAAGACTGGAGGTCGACCGCGAGCGGCCTCCCCATCACACGTGTCTATGGCTGCGCATTCGCCGCTGGCCTTTGTGGAGAACAAAGACGTGCCTGCAAAGCTAATTGAGGTGACTAGCGATGGTCACGCAAGGAGACTAGAAGTAAGCGAAGAGTTGATCGAGAGATACATTGAGAAAGACTTCTCGGCAAGTCACACTAGTTTTCAGGGTAGATGCACGCTGACGTGAGAAAAGACAGATGGTAGTAGGACCAAACAGCCAGCAAATGTGGAGACAATCAAGTTATTGTGAGCATACACGCTTGTCTGTACTAAGTTTGTGGTGCTAACAGATGTCAGCTGGTCGAGGCGCAAAGGGGAGTACACTGGCAATATGACTCCGGTGCCTTTGTCGTCGCATGCTTTTGGGCGTATCGCTCTGTTTGCTCAGATACCAGAGATATACGCACGGGTTTTGGACTACAAAGCAGCGACATACGTCTTTGCCAACCCCCAGTTGCCTTTACACCTGGCGCGTACATCACCCAAAGAGGTGCGAAGCAGATATTTGAGTACGTAGCAGAAGAATTTAGCCTCTTCTCGAAAGCTCACACCCCCAGGCTTTATCTTACAGTCGGTTCCTGGCGCGGCGTCTGACGTGTATGTTGGGGCTTCCTTCACGTACGATTTCTCGACCAGACATATGTACATCTTCATGCATGGTCTTGCAACTCACAACTACGATCGCTTCGCAAACGCAATTCAACAAGGCGCTGCAAGCACTTCCGCCTTTCTGATCCCAAGCATCATCGTTCAATTCAACCTCGAGCGGGCAGTGCAAGCACTGAACAGTTGGCACGATAAGATATACTGGCACGAGCGAAAATTGGGCATCCGATTCGATCATCATGACAATCCACCGCTTTCGAGTATCGACTTCGGCAACCTTTCGAAAGACATCAACGCTGCGAACACCAATCTTGCTCGCATCGTGTTGTCATGCAAGAGCATTACGCGCATGCTTGATTTCCTTGATCAGGTCGCAAAGCGCTATAGGACGCAAGCCGATGCGAACAAGATTGATAACGATGAATTAACTGAGGTAGAGCAACTGCTGCTTGACTCGCATGCGCACATGCGATCATGGAACGCGGGTCTCGAGGACCGGGCAGAGTACTTGTCGAAGCGAGGACAGGCTTTGGTGCAGACTGTAAGCACAGTACTCAGATCAAATGCAAAGAAGCTAACACACCGTTAATAGGTCTACAGTGGCATTGCGCAGCGCGACTCCGCAATAAGTCTTCGTTTGGCGAGCACAAGCACGAGCCTTGCACAATCGTCACAAAGCATAGCGCTGTCAACTTCGCGCGATAGTAAGACTATGAAGATCATAGCTGCTATTACTGTGTACTTTCTCCCAGCAACCTTCACCGCCGTAAGTCTGACCGCAGCTTAGTCGCGGGCAAATATGCTAACATTCAATAGACATTCTTCAGCACCTCCTTTTTCGACTTCAAACCCAAACAAGACAATAAGGTCTACTCACAGTGGCTGTGGTTGTACTTTGTGGTAACAATCACACTGAACTTTATTGTCTTTTACGGGACATCGTACATGTGGCGTACAAGAGAGTTAAATAAAAGCCCACTATCTGCCTTATGGCGGCCAGATAAAGACCAGGAAGCGCAAATTGTGGAACAGTCTGCAAATGGGCCTGATCACGAGATGGAGCAATTTTTCGAGCAAGAAGTTGGCCCTGGAGTGCCAGAAGCGAGTTTGCGCACGAATTTGGAATACGCGCAACCTGATCGGCGGCAAACACGTTATGCGCGAACTGAGCCAAACGCACAATGAGATACATGCATTGAAGAAGACATGCAAGATTTTCCATTTTCTGATTCATATCCTCTTCTGAACCGCGCGTCGAACTCTCAACCACGCCCATACGCAGTCAGATACGCCTTGCTATACGCCGGGTCATTCACGCGCAGCAACGCAAGCTCAAGAAGTCTTTGCGCCCGCGCGATAGCCACGACAGCCTTCATAACAGGATCCCGCTTCAAACAACGACTACCAGGGTCAACATTCTGGCAAGCATCGTCTACCGCGGCATAAGCTTGGGTGAGCGATTCTTGCGCTTCCTTCACCCAAGCGCACTGGTATGCACGGTCGCCATGTGGAATACCGCGTTGGATGTAAAGAACCTGGGCGTCCAACTCATCGATACCAAAAGCTCCTTGCGCCATGACCTCGTCGACGCATCGAATGAGTTCGGGAACGGACTTGGGAGCTTCTGGCACGTCGTATAATGAGAGCAGAACTAAAGGCTTGGGCGATGAATCAGCCTCATGGTCGGTGTCGCATGGTGGTTTGGCACTGATGGCTACATTGGAGGTACTTGGTGGACTGTCTTGGTCGTATTCTTCGTATCTGACGTTAGGACTGAAGCTTACCCGTCGCGAGTGACTGGCCTTGGGGCCTTTCATGTGTGCCTTGTGATTTGGATCGGCTGCTCTCTTTGCCAGTCGTGTGAATGTGTCGTATCGATATAAAAAGGCCTCTAGAGTGGTAGTTGGCGGCCCACCTCGTGCGCGGAGTCCATGGCGTCCTTCAATCTGTGTCGTGTTTGGTGGCCTATTCTTTGAAGGTCCGGCAGCTATCGTCGTGACACTAGTCTGGGTACCGATATGACAGACCTTGTTGCCCTCTAATAAAGTGCTCTTTTCTACCGATTTGGATTGGCTATACTTCGATGGCCCGGCAATTATCGGCGGGACACTGGTCGATGTATCGTGAACACTGGCTTTGTTCTCGTCCAACACCTTTGTTCTTACTGGCATTACTTGACCCGGCTCAGAAAGCTTACTGTTCGTAATACTAGTGGGTAAACCGATAGCACCAGTTTTCTTCCTGTCCAACACATCGCTCGTCTCTGCAGATTTGGGCTGGCTAGGTGGAGAAGGCTCAATGCTCGTAGCAACATCCTTCTTTACCTTCTTTACCACACCTAGACGGCATAGCCGCTTGATTGACTCCTTCAGGGCGAATGAAACAGCTGCCTCTTTGGTCTTCGGCTTCGCAGAGCATATGTCGGCGTCGATTTTGCTAGCCAACTCTGCTCGCTCTTGATGCACGAGACTTTCCTGCAAGAAATCAAAAGCAATCGGATGCAGAGCCAAAATGGTCTTGCCACTGCTTCTCGAAAGCACATAGCTGCGAAAATTCGGCTTGGTTCGAGCTTCTTCGATAGTGGTTTTGAGGGACCATGTCTGGACGGTCTGGGATTGGTTGTCCATAATTGCAGAAAGGGTGCTGATGCGTTGAGATTTATTGATGGATGGTGAAAGAACAGACCGAGGCTGAACGGTGGTGGCCGAAGGTCTCCTGAGTAGAGGCAATTTGGGACTCGATGGTCAGTGGAGTTGGTTCTCATAACAGTCAGGTGAGGTTTATGGCTGTTCGTGGTGTAGACTTGTAGACCGTGCTACCGACTGCCTTATCAGGTTCCTGTTGAAGCGCAAACACGGATTTTCCGCGCCACGATCCAGCGACGGGGGGTGATTCACCAAGCTCTAGGGTCACGGACCTTGTTCCCTGCTTTCACAGCAATCGAAGTGATAGCGGTGAACTGTCAACGACCTTGTCAGGAGTCAAGCTCAGGCGATGTAGACAATACCCTCACAGCATTACGCATCTTTTCGCTGCGACTCGTCCAAGATCAATACGGTGGGTCCAAAGTCCTGCTCCTCGAGCGTATCACTATTGATTCCTCTCCTGATATTGTCGTTCTGAACCTCTTCTTCCGTTGCAAAGCGGTAGCAACGCGTCTCAGCCAGTCCAAAGCGCTTGCCCTTCACGAGGAAAGCTTTAATACCTCGGTGCGTGATGATAGCGATGTTGCTATACGTCGCGGAAAGTTCTTTCAGCCTTCTTCGCACTCGTTCAGCACGCGTATTAGCCGCTTCAGTGCTATGCTCGGGATAGTCCCACTCTTCATTGCACTCGGAGAAGTCGAATTGGGGAAAGTTTGACGCTAGCTCTTTTCGCGACAAGCCCTTGTTGCAGACGGCATCGTTGGCTTCCCGAAGATCAGGCCAGATTTGAACGGGTATGTGAAAGGAACCTGCCTCCGTCAAGAACGGAAACATGTTTATCGCAGTTTGTATGGTGCGGGTCATGGGCGAGATGAGGATCAGATCTGGCTGGACTGAAAGATTAACGCGTTTGGTGGAGACGTTGCCGGCTTTTGTCAACGGCGGATCTCGGTGTGCATAGCCGCGCTGGACGTTGTGCAGTGCTTCGCCATGGCGTATGATATGTACACGCGCTGTCATGATGTTCCTACAAGCAAGTGGATGACGCGGGTGTTAAACGTAGACGCCTTGAAGACCGCCGCGAAGGGTTATCGATAAGAAGGGCTAAAGCTTAGCCTCGCTTGAAACATCGAAGCTGCGCTCCTGCGCGCGCTCATCTTCCACGTCATTGCACATATCGTCGTCAACTTCCTTTCTGAACGCGCTCCGGAGCTACTGGCCAGAATAATGGATTCGCTGCTTCTCTATCACATGCCCGAGGTATGCAGCTGCAGCTGGGCCCCCTTCGACGGCCCATGAACTTGTTCAGGAGATGGCGGCACCCACCGTCATCGATGCCAAGGTCGCCGAACGATCTCCGCTATCGGATGTTGCATCGATCTGCATCTGATAAGATGAGATTGATAAAATTCCCCACCACCTACTCCGCTGGAGCCAATCGCGAACACCGCACGTACGACGTCAACCTCTTTTTTAGGCAGAATGCTCGTACTGCGACAAGGTATAAGAAAACTCTGCGAGTGTCTATCGGCCGTAGCATTCGTGCAGTGCCCTGATGCTGATGGGTACGCGATGTGTTTTCGAGGCGTGCCATGGGACCTATAAGAAGCAAATCGAGGACTTTGGTTACCTCAACATCTAAGCTTCTGTGGTATTTGCTCTCTACCCATCACACCATGCGGTTCTTTGGCGTCGTTCTCGCCTCGCTGGCGTCCATTCTTGTCCATGCGCAGAACAACACAACCTCATCCTGGCCATGGCAAACCTTCAAATCCCGTCCTGGTTTTGAGCCCCCGGTACTCTCGGTCAACAAGACAGGTGACACCTCACCAGGAGTTATCACCTTCCCTCAGAGTGGAGGCGGGGCCCACAACTACAGTCTGAACATCTTCCAAGAAGATGGCGAGTTGGTGTGGCAGTCTGGCTACGGCGACTACGCCGCCTTCAGGGTCTCTGAGCTCTTCGGCGAACCCGTACTGGCCTACTTCAGTGGCATCTCTCTCACAGAGCCTTGGGGTTTCGGGTATGGAGTAATCTACATCCTCAACCAGCAATACGAGAGCATCTACAATGTCACTCTCTGGAACGAAACATACCCACTCGAGAGCATCTATCCGTTGTACGATCCTACTCAGTACCAACCTTTCAGCTGGGTTGATATGCACGAGAACCTTATCACCCCTGAGGGTACGATGTTCATCGCCGCTGTGAATGTTACCCCATGGGATCTATCATCCATCGGCGGCCCGAAGGATGGGTGGGTTGTGGATTCCATTGCGCTCGAGCTCAACGTTACGAACAGCGAGATTATCTGGCAATGGAGCCACCTTGACCACGTGGACCAAGTTTCGCTCGAAAGCGCTGTGCCAACATATCCGCTTGGTGAGCTAGGCAAGAACAGCAGTTACCCTTGGGGCCCTTTCCACATCAACTCTATCGAAAGATTTGAGGATGGAAGTTACTTGATCTCTTCAAGGCATTACTGCTCTATCTACAAGGTCTTCCAAAATGGCACCGTGGCATGGACTTTGAACGTAAGTTTTCATCCCCGTTCCCATCCTTCCGACGGTACGCACTAGTGGTGGGCGCCATGCTAACGAAACCCCAGGGACATTCCGGTGGCGACTTCGCCCTTGAGAATGGTCTTTCCTTCTGCTACCAACATGACGCGCGTATCCATCCGTCTCGCTCGCCCAACACCACCACCATCTCTCTCTTCAACAACGACAACAGCGCCGTTGTACCTAAAGTTAACGAAACTACCGGAATCTTCCTCTCCGTCGATGAGCGCACGATGACTGCGACATTGCTACAAGAACTCGCTGACCCAGATGATGTCATCTACTCGGTCAGCCAAGGCAACATGGAAGTCCTCCCCTCCAACCACTCTATCATGGGATACGGCAGCGTCCCGACTCTGAAAGAGTTTGACCAAGATGGCAATGTTGTGTTGACGGTGAAATGGGGAGAACCAGAGAAGGTGCAGAGCTACCGCGCTTACAAGGCCGAGTGGGTTGGTAAGCCGAGCACCAAACCTGATGTGTACGCCTGCAAGGCGAGCAACGGTACAGAGGTCTACATGAGCTGGAATGGTGCCACGGAAGTTGACACGTGGACTGTGTTCGGTGGCGCATTCAACGGAACCCTGAGCAAGGTCACTAGCGTTGAGAAGTCTGGTTTCGAGACCAAGACAGTCGTGGGTCACGAGCTTGGGTTCGTGAGGGTAGAGGCAAGTGGTGAAGAGATTGAACCTGGTGTCTCGCGTGTCGCAGCGGTATCGGAGATGTGCTAGGTATCATGTGAACGATGGAAATAGTAATAGATGCATTACGCATCCGTATGTATAAATCGACACTTCATAGTATCCTCAGCCTACCATGGGTAGCCTCCTGTATTATGAATAAATTTCCCACATTCCTCATCTCTCTTCCCATCAACAAGCTCCATAATGCTCTTCACAGTGTCCTCCGCACTCCTTGCGCCAAACTCCACTTTGTTATATGGACCAAGATTGGAAGCTGTGAAGCCAGGGTCGTAACAGAAAACTTTCATTTTGACGTTGTCCTTCTCTTTTGATGCCTCAGCATCGCCCTCCCCAGCTTTCTCAAAGTCCACCTGCGGTATACCCAGCCCGTACTCCACATACATACACGAGCTGATCATGTTGAAGGCGACCTTGCTGGCGCGGTATGGGACGGCTTGAATCTTGTACATCGGGCTTTCAGTGGAGAGGCGGCGACCAATTGACCCAGCCCCTGACGAGATGTTGATGATGCGCGGGTTCGCGCTCTTCTTCAGCGACGCAATCACGGCGTTGGTAAGAAGCCATGGGCCTGTTGCGTTCACGTCGAAAGCTGTGGCCAGGCGTTGGCGTTCCGTCAAGTCTTCAGGAAGTGCGACTGCAGCGTTGTTGAACAGGATATCGAGTTTGCCGTAGTTCTCCTCGATAAGCGTTGCGGTTTGCGCGATGTGTTCATCGTTCTGCAAATCAAGATGCACGAGCTCGATGCTACCTGACAACTTGCGTGCTTGCAGGTCTTCGAGGGCGGCCGACCCTTTCGCAGTCGATCGCGAGGCAAGGAGGACGTGATATTGACCCCGCTTGAGGAGCTGGTGAGCGATCTCAAATCCGATGCCGCTGTTCGCCCCGGTGATAAGAGCGATTTCCTTGCCGATGGACTGCATTGTGGGTGATGCGGGGATTTAAAGAGATCAAGGTAAAAAGAGGCGTGTCGCAGTGACTTTGACATTGCTCAACATGAGGTTAAAGCCACTGTTATATACGTTTCCTGCCTTCTTGAGAGTTTGGCCGCCGCCGGACTTACGAGTTCAAATTCCGCGATGATGCGCTGCAGTCGGCCTAGCGGTCGTGCCGCAGTCGTGTGTGTAAGCTGTGTCTATACATTGAGACGGTCATTTCACGACTAGTCGACGTTCTCGGGCGGATGAGAGTAGGCCAGGCCGGACTATCTGGACGCCTAAAGGCTTCAAGCCAGCGTTGGAGGCGCGGAGTACAGGTTTTGCACTTTCAATCGCCGGCGCTAGCATCGAAATGGACTAGAGGAATTGCACAAGCGCCACCCGTGCGCTGTGAGCGTAATCAAGAGCTGGCACGATGGAAGCATCGTGGGAAGAGTCAGAATTGCTGAATTCGTTTTGCCAAGTATTCATGCCATGCAAGTATCTAAGATCCTTCGAATGTATCGCTACCTGACCTGCACTGCAAGCCCATCATCACCCCGGATTTGCGGAGACAACGAATCGGCTCGCACCTCTCTCACCGCGACATCCGGGGACTTCAGCCAATCTTGCTGCACCAAACCTCTCCCGCGCTCGGTCATCTGGAGATGCGGAAGTTCCTCCCGTAACGCAGCAATGCCACCCTTGACGCTACTTGCTGAGATGGCTTTGGCGCGGAGCACGCTCGTCGCGACGCGGGCCGTATCACCACCGTAGCAAACAACATATACATCTTTGCCAGCAAGGTCATGCGCACTAATGCGCTCGCTTGTGAATGTTGATTCCAACTCTTTCCATTGCTTCTCGAGAACCGCGGCATCCGAGAACGGGCTCGGTGTGTATGCATTCAGGCTTTGTAGCGGTAGGTTATACGATCCTGGGATGTGACTGGTGACGAAGTCCTCTGGCTTCCTTAGATCAAGCAGGACAGCACCGTTATTCTTCTCGACGGATTCGGCAAACTGTGATAGCGCTCGTGTAGGTGTGAGTTCCCATGCTTCGTCGTAGCGGTACAGGTCGACTGCGGTGAGATTCTGCAGTTATGTTAGCTATGTTTGACAAAGCGCGACAGCATGAGGGCCAGCCGCGAAGATACCGAAGGAAAAAGCGCCTCTTACCTCGTTGTGTATAGGTCGAAAAGCGGAATCTCCAAGCTTGTCGAAATATTCATCGATGTACTGATATGGGCCATCGCAGGCCACGAATGCGCAGTCGATGATGCCATTGGTATTGGCGAGGTCGGATAATGTGCCGTCGCTCTTTCGTTTTCCGAGATAGTTGAACAGCCCTAACAATGTTAGCGGCTATACTTGTAGTGTCAGATTATCCCACTCACCCTGCAAATTGAAACCTGAGGATGGACCACAGATCAAACCCGCGCGGCAAAGCGCCAGGGATAGACTGAAAGCATCCTTGGAGCCCACCTCCTCAATGGCATCCACGGAGTCGCGCCATGGGAACTCGACAGGGCTCAGAAGAGCGAGAGATCTAGGTCCTGGAACTCGATCGCCGGCGGCGGTGCACACGCTGGGCTCTTGGTCAGGCTACATCTCCATAAACTGTGAACATGGATCGACTCACCCTAATCGAACCACAGACGGCTTCGCTGACTTGAAATACTGGCCGAGCCCTGTCATTGTCCCAGACGTTCCCATGCCCGCGCACATAAGACGAATGTTGGGTAATTGTTGATGGATTTGCGGTCCGGTCCATTTGACGTGCGATTGCCAGTTCTTGAGAAGTTAGCTTGTGCCGCGATGACTAAATGCGATGGGGTAACTTACTGCGTCGTTTTCGTATTGATTGACGTTGAGGATTGCTTCGTCCTTTTCGGCCATGGTCCTAGCTCGATGTATGCCGCCGCGTTCGTCGTGTGGTTCTGGTTGTGAAGGACCACCAAAGAGCGTACTGCCAGTGGGTTAGATGGCTTCGAGACACGAATGATTCCTGCTCGTACATGTCCAGTCCGAAGAATTGCATGAGCCTGAGTTTTGGAGCCGAAGTCTTGTTACTCAAGAAGGCGCGAACATCTTGTATCCCGTGGTTGATACGAGAGACCAAGGCCAGAGATATGACAGTAGATCCTGAACTGTACTCGACTACTGTCTTGGACTTCTCCGGGTGGACCTCTTTGGTCAACATGTTCAACGCTGGCGTCGCATGAGCAATGTGAGATGCTGACTACGCTCTTCTACTTCGCACGTACCAGGCATGATCTTGACATTGTTCGAGGGATGCATAGACATCATCTTTGCATGTATCCTAACACCATCGTTGTAGTACGGGTTCAAGCTTGGCGGAATCTCGACGAGAGGAATCATTGGTGTGCGGTCGGGGTCGAAGTAGTTCTGGAGAGCATCTGGCCCCGAATAGGCGTTCAAATAATTCCGTGAGACCATATTGAAGTGAGCAAAAGTTGTACGAGACAGTACAAGTGCAGCCCAAGCGCTGGAACGGACTGCTCTTTAACTGAGCGCTTTCGCGGTGACACATCGGAGCCTGCCTGTCGAAGTCGATATTGAACCAAATGATCTACAGCACCGGGATATTTTTGCGTGGGCATCATGCAACATGCTACGATGAAGGTGCTCATCGGTGTCACTTCATGGGTGCTAGTGCTGGGGCGAAGATCAATCCCGAAGTGGGACTCGTACGGTAGGATTCCCGCTGCGGCCATGGGAACGTCCCGCATCGGCCAAGACGTGTTACTATAATTTACGGGCGAGAGCGTAACACCAAAGATGACGTGAGAGGGCTCATTGGACGGGATGGTGATGGTCGTTGATGGCTTCGAGGCACATTGAGGCACATTGAGCACATTGATGGCGGCGAGTCAGGACGAGACGCGCTTGTGCTAGTGTGTTTTCCGACTAGCGTTGACGCGACATGGGCCACCCCACGGGTGTTCTGGAGCTCTGAATGTCACGAACCTCGCAATGTGTCTGACTGACACGACGACAGGGGATGAGAAAACGTTCGACGTGCATACGTCGCAATTTTCTACCGAAGCCCGCCCTTGCGTGGAGCACACGCGTATAGTCGCCCTCATTGTACTCAACAGCGTTCCCGGTGAGCGCGCCACACACTGGACGTGCTGCGACACCTATTGCTTGTTGCAAAGTGCTGGTAGCTGCCAGTCGTAGTACCTGGGCATAAAACATTTGGTATCCAACAGGACCAAAGAAGTTAGGGCACGAGCGTAGACGCTTACACATCTAGTTTGCATCGCGCACTTTGCAAGGATGTATCCGGCTCCTTGCGTCTTACGTTTTAGGAAGTATACACAAAGTGGAAGATCAACCGATCGGCGTGGATGGACCAGGTTGAGTACTACATGTCAGAGTGCGGTCCCAGACCGCGTTGGCATCTGCACCAACGTCGTCTCCACCGCTTCAAGTCGTAATAATATCTGTCGAGCTCGGCCCGTGTTGAGTCGTGCTATACTTTTATCAAGCCATCCCAAGACACCACAGACTTCGTGAAGACGAAAAATCGAACCTTCTGAACCATGGCGACAGAAGATCAGCCCCAGGCTGCCATGAGCACACCGGAAAAATCTCCTACAGAAGCCACCTCTGTTCAGGCGCCAAAACAGCCTCCAGAATTCAACGAACAAACCAGTACGGTATGCGCAGATGACATTTCGAATTTTGCTGACTCCATACTCCAAAGACTATGTACCAGTCAAGACGATCATTACGGTGGGTACTTACCCGGCTATTCTCCCTTTCGGTACTTACGTATCAGCAGATTTTCCTTGCTTGCGCGAGCGTCGACTTGCTGGCCTTGATGGATCAAACAACACTTGCAGCTAGCTTGACCATCGTCAGCAAGGATCTCAACGCCAGTAACGAAAGCGCGTGGATCGCAGGCGCATACTTCTTGACGTCCACGTCATTCCAACTCCTCTACGGGCGGCTTTCTGACATTTGGTCCCGCAAGGTGCTCTTAGTTATCGGCATTGGCATCTTCTTTCTCGGCTCGCTAGCCGCTTCCTTGGCACAGTCCGCCCTGCAGCTGATCGTCTTCCGTGCATTCATGGGCGTTGGAGGTGGCGGCCTCATGACGGTTGCTCAGATGATCGTATCGGACATTGTGCCTCTTCGCGAGAGGGGAAAATATCAGGGTATACTTGTAAGCGACGTTGCAATGCGTTCTGTAGCATACCGCTTACTTCATGTCAGGGCTCTGTTGTAGCTCTGGCGAATGGCATTGGGCCAGTGATAGGTGGTGCACTCGCTTCCCAAAGCCACGATTCTTGGTATGAACACCCTACTGACATCCAATCAAAACAAGACTAAGCCGGTTGCAGGAGGTGGATCTTCCGGCTGAACTTATTCCTATGCGTTCTTACCACTGGCTCCGTCATGTTCTTCATGCCACTCAGAAAGGTCGACGGTAGTTGGAAAAGGTCAGCACTAGCTACCTTCGCTCATGTCCAACACTGACGATATCAGGAAATTAGCAGCAATCGACTTCTTCGGAGCGTTCCTCGCTCTCGCTGGGTCTGCGTTGCTCGTAGTATGTTGCGCGACATCATCAGTCATCCATCCTGGCCAACGCTAACCATCCTAGCTCGCCTTGACATGGGCTGGGGGAGAGTACGCTTGGGGATCGGCGCATGTCATTGCAACCCTGGTAGTTGGCATTGCAGTCTCAGCTATCTTCGTCGCGTGGCAGTGGAAAGGCACCAGCGTGCCATTGATACCGAGTAGGCTTGCCCCAGGCAACAAGCAAAGCTTCGTGCTGACTCACACCAGTGACCATCTTCACATCCAAAGTCGTTAACGGTGCCGCGCTAACCATGTTCGTGAACGGCTGGAACTTTCTTGTTCAGGTCTACTACATTCCTTCATTCTACCAATTGGTCTATGGCTACTCAGCCGTGAAGTCCGGAGCACTACTACTCCCCATCACGCTCACACAAAGTAAGACAATGTATCTCATTCACATCGGTTCGTGTCTGACTCTCACATAAGCTCTCTTCAGCACCCTGTCAGGCCTTATTGTACACTGGACCGGTCGTTACAGAGAGTGCCTACTGGTAGGCTGGGCGATATGGGCGATTGGTCTGGGCCTGATATCGACACTCGATAGCCCGTCTCTCGGAAAGCAGATAGGCTATGGCCTGCTCGCTGGTCTTGGTCTTGGCAACACACTGCAACCTTCACTCATCGCTGTTCAGGCGGGGGTAGAGCGCAAACACATGGCTGTCGTCACCTCGACGCGCAACTTCGTACGCAATCTTGGCGGCACCCTTGGCCTCGCGATCTCAGGCACCGTGATCAACAACGCGATTCGATCATCACTGGCTCCGTATGGGCTTTCGAGGCCAGAGATCCGGCTGTTGCTGGATTCGCCAGACATGTTTCGGGAGTCAGTTGGCCAAGAGCGTACCGATCTTGTCAGAGCTGCACTTGCAGCAGCGTATCAGCAGGGCTTCCGGATTGTTTTCATCGTCGGCGCAGTGCTTAATGCGCTCGCTTTCATCGCTGCTTGGTTCTTGATGCCTCAGGTGGAGTTGAGCAGAAAGGACGATGCCCAACTGAAAGAGGAAGGCAAGAAGAGGGACGAGGAAAAGCGCGGCACAACTTCCCCTGCATAATGTTTTGATCAGAAGTGTCTGAAGGAACGGCGAGACGCATGATACAACACGATGAGCCAATTTTCGGACATTTCATATCCAACGACAATTGCAACTACCGACGACGAGGATGGATGCCGGGTAAACAATAGATTGCCATCCATAGAGTCATGATTACTATACACCCTAGCAAACTGGCCCCACATCGAAGAAGTACACTAATACCCCCCGCATTTACTATAAGTGCTTGTTTCGTTGTCAAGAATAGATAGTACCCGAGTAACGAAGCTTAATTGCACATTTATTCTATAATGTCGTTCAAAATCATAGTGCTATATCAGTCGACCACCTCTCCAAATATGAGTAGCATCGTGATATTTCACTGAGACTCTCTCAAACCGCAAGCATGCTCACATCTACTCTCATCGCCCTCGCACTGGCTGCAACCGGTCTCGCACAAGCACCAGAAGGCTACCGTACGGTGTACATGACATCGGCGCAAGATACCAAATTTGTCGTTGTACCAAAGTCACGAGCCGCAGGAGCAACACTCGTGGTGTAAGACACATGTCTCCCTTTTCTTCTAACACCGATGCATTCGGCTAACGCATGTCTCAGGCAAACCCTCACGTCTACGCCGGCGCAATCATGGTACATCAAGTCGCCTAACAATGCTACCTCCATCCAGCTCGCATCCACAACACTCTGCATGGATGCAGGGCCGAAGTCTGGCTGGAAAGATATGGCCAACATCTACCTCCGCGAATGCGTTGCTGGGAGTGAACAGCAGACCTGGAACGCCATGGCTGATGGACGTATTGCCCTTGCTGCTAGCAGTGGAACGCAGCAATGTGTCGATCTACAGTATCTGCGTGCTGTGCAGAATAACCCGGTCGGGCTGTATAACTGTGCAGGGCTGGGGAACACCGGGGCGGCTGACAAGGGGATTAATTGGCCTTTGAAGAATGCTACAGTCGTGTAGGCGAATGGAAGGGCGGTTGTACAGCATCTGATGTAGCCTAGGCAGTCGAGGATCTACTTGATTCAATCATCAATGACATGTTCGACGTTGGACATAATCGTTTTGCTCATCTAATTGAATGTACATTGTTCCTCCAGGGATTCGATGGTCTCTCGTCATGAACGGGCTGGCGGGCTCATCAGGCGGACAGCCAAATGCAACATTGTGTGGATCTGACGCCGGCCTGGTCGTCAATGTCGAGAAACTGCATCCGCAATCAGCCAGGAGATGGGGCAAATGCCGTTCATGCGTCATAGTGTCGGAGGGTCGTGAGAACGGACGGAGGGTTGCAGATCAGTCAAGGCGATCCCGGGAAAATGGCGGGGCTGCGCACGAGCCCTCTGTTCCACCTCAGCTTCCGGATGTTCAGTCCGTCCAGAACTTACAACTCAGCCGCCATCACGAGCACCCACAGAAGGCATGCGCCGACATCTTTGTATAGATTCAGAGTATCGTAAGCTATCGAGAATCTCCTGAGCCAAATGCTTACACATTAGCGCCCATAGTATGACACGGTAGACAGATGCTTGAACTGCAAAATCGCGCGCCCATCATCCAACGCCAAACCGCGGAACCTCTCCATGACCATGTCCTTCATTCGCTCCGCCTTTTCACCCTGCAAATGGTAGCCAAACCTGTTCCCTGTGCTATCGTTGCACCAATTCCATAGCGCCTCCACGTTCTCCAGCGTACGCGTGCCAAAACCGCGCGATACCTTCACATCGCCAAACCCAGCGGCGCTTAGATCGCGCTGCATCTCCGCCAGGGTCGAAGGCCATATAAAATTATCTATAGGCTCGCCGAGTTCCGCTAAGACATCATCGCGGACGTCTTGGATGGGTAGATGGAATGCGCCGTCCTGAGTCGCGAGACCAATAGCAGTGCCGGGCTTGGCCAAAGTGGCGGCTTGAGCGAGGAAGAGAGGTTTGTCGCTAAACCAGTGGTATGACATGTTGCAGTGTATGGCATCAAACTTCTGTCCTGCGAACATGGAAAGATCGTGCACGTCGGCGACGTGGAGCTCTACGTAGGGCTTGAGCTCCGGATGTTCCTCCAAGGCCTCGCGTGCCCGCTTGATACTGTATTTGTCTAGATCAAACCCTACGACTTTCCCAGTCGGGCCTACAATTTGCGCAATGTCGAGAACGTCGCTTCCGGGACCACAGGCAGCCACGAGGACGTGTTGGCCTTTGGAGATGTTCATCATTTCTGTCAGGGCATGGCCGTAGCCGCGCTGCATCGTATTCGTGCGGCTGTAGCGATCTGCTGTTGTTTCGGTGGCTGTGCCCCATTTCGTGGGTTCTTCGGCTTGGGTAGCGAGGACGGACATGATGAATAAGATTGTAGGCAGTTCTAAGCAGATGGAAATGGTGATGATTTGGGATTGAAGGTGCAACGGCAAGTCCGGAAGCGCCGAGTACTGTGAAGTTATATGCGTAGGGTATGCTGCGATAAGCACTTACGGGAGAGCAATTGGTGGGCACTTCGTACGAGCCGGCAGATCCTATCGACCTCTACTGCGTGGTCTATACCGAGCGGGGGAGGCCCGAGGATATGCCGTCTCTTGGATCTTCAGTCTGACAGCAACGTCATCCAGATATAGCCGCTTCTAATGCTCCCTTGTAAAAGACCGCAATGGGGCCCGTACAGCTATACACGCCAAGCTTCTGGGTAGGGGGAGGGTTATATACAAGAAGCGGCCTCGGCGTCTCTTTCGCCACCACTCTCGCAATACATACGTGTTTTAGACCTATCAATCACCACAGTTACAGAAAGACTGCGATGACTGAGGCATTGACTTCGGCATTTAAGGTTGAGCGGCCCAAGACGTATCAGACAAAGCGTTCCGCGGAGTCTCCGAGCCCAACTACGTTGACATGTGCTTTTTACAGATAGAGTTTGCACTAGTGTGGGACGGCTATATGCCATATCCAACCTTCTTCTCGATATTTGAAACGCGCTGGATTGCAGAGCTTATACTAGTTCGGCGCTTTGAGTTTATTACATATCAACGTCAGTTCTTGTTAAGGCATTTCTCAAACATCTCACTAAGTGATGGGAATAAACCAGCGGATGCATGCTGATATCGTCGCGCATGAGTACAAAATCAACTGTCTTGAGAAAAGATGCTAGCCCGATAAGAATATTCACGTTCACTCTGACGATTAGACTCCAGACCAAAGCGCCAGTAAAGTGTCTCCATGAATATCTCTAAGCTACTCGACCCCAAAACGCCGAGATCATTTTCGCCACCGACGCCGAGATCAATCGCTACCTTCGCCGAGATATTGATCACGGCTTGTCAATCAATAACACCGTCGCCCAGTAAATAAAGTTGTGTACTATCTTCATAACTCTTCTCACCACTCCGACATTCTTACCTTCTTACTCCGATCGAGGGCGGATCTGGCCGCTGAGCCAAACAAGGACGCGTGAGTTCATCAGCGAATACCTGAGATCCATCATCGTTACTGTACGGAGCCCATAAGCCGTCGAAAAGAAGAGAACTAAAAGTCATTGGTATCCTTCTTCGATGTTGCGGATCCGAACGTGACATGTAGGGATAAGATTTACGTATACTGTCTTTTGTCTCAGCTCCATCGGCATGGATAAGACATCGGGGGCCAGGGGCATGCCCGTCTATGTGCTGCAGAAGTTGCTTCCATGATACTACCTAGGCATTCACTCACACCAAGAAACATAATGCTAAGGTTACTAACATCACGCACGCACAAGGCTCTATCTCGATTGTTAACATCGTGACAAACACCACAAACGCTGTTTACAAACAAACAACCCACCTTTAAGTCTAAGTACAAATCATCCTATCGTACTCAAGACTGACACCACTAATTCCATCACAAACTCAAACCCGAACCAAAAACCAGCATGTCAGTAACCTCTTTTATCAAATACCTAGTAGACTCCGTTTCCTACAACTGGAACTGCCACCAATGCGGTAGTAACAATGTGGCAAAAGAGCACCCAGCTCAATGCGCATCGTGCTCGCATTTCCATTGCTGGAAGTGTGAAAACATCATTAACTAATCTGAGTATGATGTCGAGCTAATCTACTTCATATGCTGTCACGAAGATATATTTCATGACCACTCTATCCATATGCTAGCTCCAATTACAATGAGAATTCTACTTGCGCTCAAAGAACCTTGTCTAGAAGCCATGTGAATACTGATGCTTGCACATGAATCACAGAGTGACGACTCTTTCCATTAGTCTCGCACAATGCGCGCACACTTTATGAAGCAATACTAGGTATAAAGCGGTGTACTCAATCGAAGTGATACAATGTTCTTGACATGGTTTTAGTCTGACGTACCTGATTCTATAAAAGAGAAGTTCTCACTACCCTCAAAGCCTTCTCTCTCTATACCGCCATACATGATCTACCGTTATCACTTAACAACTGCACGATTGTCTGGTACCTTAGTTTGCTTCTCAAGCCATCATCTCTTTTTCACTTACTCGCGAAGAAACGGCTTGCGCATCTGCTTCGACAATACTACCCTCAACTATGCTCATTTGCAATAACTCATTTATCGGGCTACTTGCCGGTCTATCCTGCATCTCGGCAGCTCCTCTGGAAACCTTGGCGAGTGAAAGCACTTCGATAGTGGCACATAACATTAGAAATGTAAGTCTTATATCTTAGTCTATGCGACTGCGACTGCGAGTAACCTTTACTAATACCAAGGTTTAACAGGCCCCTCAATTCTCCCTCCAACTTCTGTACAGCGTCTGGGATGAGGATAAATACCTCTACATCGCCCAACGAGGGAAGCAAGGAATAGCATATGGACCATGTGGGGGCGACGTAAAGAACAATTCCTTTGAGCTAATCCATTATACAGAATTAGGTAAAGACTCCCGTCCCAACGCCATCGATCATCCTCCGTTTCCAAGCAAAGAAGTAAGTAAACCCTCCCTTAGCTCTTTAAAACATGCTGACCTCGGATGTTCTTACAGGTCTCATTCCCTATCA